CCAGGTGGAAGCCATACCAGTCGCTCTTCAAGGTAGGAATGCTCTCCTTCTCCTTTATTAATGCTTACTTTTCCTTTCAACTCCACTTGTGCTTAAAAAATCAGCTCAGATTTATAGAACTTTATAGGACACTCAGTGAAATCCTTTGAAAATCCAAGACATGACCTTATTACCTTTGTAACATTAATAAAAATGGAGATTTTGATGGCAAAAACGAATGTCAACCTAATAACAACTTTCCCGAATATATTAAGAAAAATAACAAAAGTGCTTCTGTAAGAAATTCATGAAAAACACTCTTAGAGAGAAAGAAACACATATTTTTTGGTACAACATAACCTTAGAGTAGGGGTAACCAATTAAAAGTCAGCAGGGTCCGAATAAAGAAAATCATCAACCATTAAAGGTCCGGAGCCCTTTATAATTATAATCTTTTACTTTAAACAGCATTTAACACTGAAATGCAGCTGTTTATGCATCTGTGTTATACATTAAATTTTTAAATAAAAAAAAAAGAAAATTATTCCATTTTAAAATCTTAAGTGGTTTTTGAACAAGAGAACAACAACCTTTCAGTTTGGTATAAAGAACATTTCCCGATTCACGTTTTATAAAAAACCGAAACTTTTTTGTTTTTCTGTCTTTTTTCCAGTCTTAATGAGAGCAGTTGGCTTTAGGCTGCCCTGTAAGGCTTTAAACCTGGGTTTCAATGGAGACAAAGCCATTCTAAAGCACATATCAAGGAGCTCATTTTGAGCCTGGATCGATATTTATTTTGATTCTGTTCATGGTGGAGAATCCTGCTTCACAGCAGCAGGTTGAGCCAAACATGCTCTAAATGTTCAGGCTCGGCTCCGCTCCAGCCAGGTCAAGATCCGCTATTGCAATAGCACCAAACAGGGAAAAGAACGTCGAAAAGATCTGGTTTGTCAATTTAAAATATAGTAACAACAGATCGGTAACTACAAATTAGAGCATAATTCTTATATATTTAAAAAAACTAACACCGTTTATTTCAACTATTGGACGCAAACTACAGACCAGGAATCAGATTTCTCATCTCTATCAGAAACAGCAGATATGCTGGATGCTGATGGGGATTATTTTAATATGTTATATTAAATTAAGCGTTCATTTCTGCATGTTTTGCTCCTACGAATTTCCTGATATTATCGCGCATGCTCTCCTCGAGCTCCGAGGATAAGCAGGAGGCCTGGAGCGCCATGGGGTGGAGCGGTGACGGAGGATGAGGGATTTCGATTGTCATCAGACAACGTGCGGTAATTTATAAATGTTTTAAAACAGGTTGGGTCTGGATTAGCCAGCAGGTGGGTCCAGATCCGGACCGCGGTCCACTAATCCGTGACCTCTGCCTTAGAGGCATTAATATTGATACTGGCACTTACATTTATTAGTTTATAAACCTAAATATAACTGTTAACTAGGCTTATTAACTTTTTGATTTCAGATATATTTATTGTGAAACATTTTTTTCATCAAGGCACTTGATCTGACATTTACATGTTTCTTTTTAAGAAAAAGTCTGACACATAAACAACAAAAAGGCATAGTGACAACATCTATAATAAAATGAGGATAATAAAAACATAGTAAACAATAACAACACAATAATGATAGTACTGAAAATAAAAAAAACAACAAACAACATCAATCAAATATCAAATACAAGAGCTAAAAGACCCCATCCCACCCCACCCTCCCCCAGGAGTGCTACGCTTTGGTCACATTAGTCAGTTATTGAGTTAAGTTTTTTCAAACTCTCTGTTTTTCTTTTAGAATGCATCTGATTCTTTCCAGGTGAAGGGTGCCGGTCAGGTCTGATAGTCAGTGATTCAATAAGAGCTCTTCTTTTTCCTTCAGGGGTTATAACACCATGCGACAGGAGACGCTGTTAAGAGCTCATCAGATATTTCCAGAATGATCAGAACAGGATCTGGGATTATCTGGACTTCCAGAATCCACTTATTAACTTTACTTTTTAACTCTTCAATGAGCTTTTTACCTTTTTTTTTCATGACATGTTAACTTTTCTTTTCAAATTAATTTAAAGCAGGTATATATCATTCATCATCATCTAATTGGTCAAATGCCAAAATGAGATGCTGATGAAGATTCTCAGTCATCCAGGTCATAGTCATTCAGTAAAAATTCAAAAATATCCACTGGACTTGGTTTCCAAGGTTTGAAGACGTTTCTATGAAGGTAAATATGTGCCAAAATGAACGAACTTGTGAATTTAATGTGAAAACTTGAGAATGCAATGTGAGAATTTGTACCACAAAAATC